AAACGAATAACGCTTCCTTTACATTCAACGGAAAAAAAGCAAAGTAAAGTAACAGCATATACAAGTCCCACTGCTGGGCAAAGGTCTCTTGTGTACAGAGGGTATAATATCAGGGCATATCCCACGCGGCCCCACTGCGGATTGGCGTACTTCAAATATTTTTTGTTAAAATATTTATGACGAAAATATTTAGGTTTCCTCACGATGTTTTCCTTCACCGTAGAGCGCATTATAAGAACAGGAATTCGGTATATTATACAATAAAAACAAAACTGAAAACATTCCTGTTGCAAACATAAAAGCGATTCCTTGGGCACAACAAACAAATATCACTAACCGCTTCAACCCGAACGTTATAACTAACCGTAATTGGCGATAAAGTCCAACGGTTGATGAATGAAGTCGTTTAAGTAATAAAATTTATAGAAAACAATCACGCACACGAGAAGACATGACATGACACACGAAAAACGGAAAAACGACGCAGCGATATCTCATAAAAAACAAACACTCGTTGGTCTCCGCGATTATCTGATACCGAGAGGCATTGCGATAATCTTTTGTCCGGTTAATGTTTGCTATCGCCTGTAAAACTCGACTAATTTCGTGTAATGGCGTCTGTGACGTCACGGCAAATTAAATTCTCAAATCGCTTTGTACGTTACGTGCGTCATTGAAATGTGTCATCGCAATTCAGGCGAAAGACCGACGTAGTGTTATGCTTTTATATTTCGTCTGTGAGGTGTCGAGGCAGCTCTTGTGTGGCATCAACTGCAGCGAATTCCAATCGGAAATGGTATCACTTAACATTATGCCTTAACAACGGCTTAAGAAGGCCTGTCCACCTCCTCCCAAAAAACAATTAAAGATTTATAATCAACGCAGTACTCTTTCGGTAAATAATTATGGGTAACAAAGTGTTTAATGCATTCAATTAAAATAATCTGAGAGTCGGCCTAAATTAAAAATAAGTACCTACATGTAATTACACTACATGTATTTAAACTAAACTCATTCTTAAGCACTTTTTAGATCGAATATATTTTTGACGGCGTTTATTTATATCAGAAGCTGAAATATCTTTTGTTGTTTGTTTATTCATTACATTTTCGAGCGATCCGGGGGCTACAAATCCTCAAAAAGAAATAAAACTTGGCGGAAACACACACCAAAATCCTAACACTAAAATGGATCCTCAATTAAACACGCAACGTTTTCTTGTGTACATGCGAACACCACACATTGATAAATAAAAGTAATTTACAGTTTATAAAATACTATTATTATTAATTAAAAAATATTATATTAAATACTATATATAATACAATATTATAGAAATAAAAATTAGCTCATTGAGGTTTCGTCGTAATCGGATCGGAAATATTTACTTAGCGTAACAATTTCATAATTCCTAGCGCATGGTGTGGGACCATTTCACAAAAACATTTTCGGATGTTCTTTAGTGATGTTACTTTCGTGGACTTAAAACGCATTTTAACCAAACCCAAAAACACATAGAATGTCTAATCTGCTAGGGTGCATAGTTTCTAAAGCTGATAGGATACGTTTCACCCAAAACATTTAATATTTACTAGTATATCCAAATGCCCTATCAGATAAGCGCTGGACTAGGCGCGGCCGACGGCTCCGTCTGTTGCTCGGAACTTATACTACGCGTTACAGTGACCGATCGTTAAAGTGCAGTAAAATAAAATATGAATACGACATATTTTTACCCAACGTCCTCTAGTTCCAAACTCTTGATGACTCCGCGGCGCATTCGCCAAGGTAAGGCTTCGGCGTAGGGGGTCGTGGGTTCGATTCCCACACGGGACAACTATTTGTGTGACCCACAGATAGTTGTTTCGCATCTGGGTGTTTGTCCGCGTGAAATTTATTTTTGTAAAACGTCCTTACAACACAGGATAATGTTATCCTAAAGTAAGGGCAATGTTTTAAAAGAAGAAAAAAACTAAGCAACGCCTCTACTATGGGTGAAACGTAACTGATAAACACGTTTGAATATACGTTTTGTATTGTAGTTAAATATATATTATAAATATACAGCGTGTCTTTACCACCGCGACAATAAATGAACACACGCCTTACGCTACTTGCCAATAATCATACAAAAATATTAACGTTACAAAAATCCATAATTAAAAAAAACATTATTTCAAACAAAATAATTAAGTAAAAAAGAAACAAAATTTTTAACATTCTCTACAATTACAACTGACTGATTCATACATTCAGAGCCTCTCCGTCTAACAGTATGTTTTGCCTGTTTTAAATTCATTCAACCCATTCATATGCTTTGTGATCTTTACAAATGAACTTTATGTTACATTTTGTTCTAAAATTCTTTGTTTTGGAAAATTTAATAACTCGGTAAATATTGATGTTTAAAGAATATAGATGTTTCATACAATTTTAAAAAGTTATTCTCTATATGTGTGTTCATTTATTGTCGCGATTGTAAAGACACGCTGTATAAACACCACGAAACTGGAACAACACAATGTTCTTCAAACAACATTTTTCCAGTGGTGGGGATCGAACCTATACTCTCTGGCGGAAGAGGCAGCTGCACTACGCACTTAGGCAATCGGGTCGTCTAAAAAGTGTGTGTGTACTTTACGCTCGTAAGAAGTTATACTTCTTTACTGTAAATCCATTAAATGCAACAGGTGACGGTTTAATTAAAAAACTTGGAATTATTGATTGGTAAACGTCAAAAAGTTTTATTGGTTGTCATGGTAATGGTTTAAAATAAATACAATAAAAAGTAAGATATTTTTTTATCACCGTTATCAAAATACAAAAGTCTCGGATTCGCCCTGTCGTTCACAAAACGCGTGTCGACGTGTCAAAAACACAGAATTTCATGATTCGAACACAATTTAAAAGCTTATATTTGCCGCAGTTAACAAAAATAGACAAGCAGAAATAAAGTTAATGTCTTCATAAAACAAAAACTCGTCTTAAAAAGAAAATATGATAACGCCATCTATTGACAACTTGTTGATCTTTCACTATGTGATACCTTTCAATGATAAATACTTATTTACACATTCTTACTTAAGCTTTCTATAAATTTAAATTTCCTATGACGGACAAATAACAACACTAAAATTAATAATATATATGCGAACAAGCATACAGACACTTAAGATTATAAGTAAATGCGATAACGGAAATATCTTTTGCAAGTAGCGCATTATTATCTACAAATCGGATCGTACTAAATAGACGTTGGCATAATAACGAGTCATTTATTGAGAAATCACTACTGATATCCTTAAATAATACATGACGATAACTAATCATGCGGGAAGTTATTGTCAACTTTGTGAAAGTGTTTTAATTCTGTGAATTACCAAAGTAGGGTCATCGTGTGCTCACTTGCAAACCATTTATGACACATGAATAATTATTTTTGTTTTCGATTCGAACTCGATTTGAAAAGCTTACTGCCGAACCGAATCGAAACTAGAAACAAGATCGTGCGTTATCAATTCCGTCAACTGTATCCGGCCTATTATGTCATAGACAATTGTCCCATGTTTACATTTACATTTTAATTGTTTAATTTTTTTCGAATAATTATTCGACCTTAGTTCGAATTGGAGCCACCACTCGATTGTGCGCTGACGTCAGATTCAGTGGTACGAACTGCCATGAATTCGAGTCAAAATCGATTGTTTCAGAACTCGAATCTGTCGGGGGAGGTCTGCAGGTTCCAACACAAAACAAGTAACTTACTCGATCACGACAAATAAAACATAAACCATAGAAGAAAAATGTTGGCTACACCTGACAGACGGCCGCGTGTACACAGTCTTTAACTATGGCGGAATGGAAAGGGATTATTTATATTCTTCGCGTTTCTATTAGTTTATATTAATTAATTAATTTACTTATTGATTAATTTCTTATTTAATATTACGCAAAACGAAAAACTGATTGGCGCATATTCATGGAATTTGGACCTGGCGCGAAATTAGGCAGCCAAATAGACGTTGATGTTATGCTCAAGCTGCCAATGAATACTGTATAGTTTGTCCCAACCAACATAAAGCAGAACGCAAACATCATAGCAGAAAGCTAAATAAAACTACCAGGAAAGGTAAAAGGAGGGTGGTAGAAAGAAAGAGAGTTGAGAATAGAGCCAGAGGGAGAGTGAAGGGGAACGATGTCTGTTAAGGGGTTTTTACAACAAAATAGAAAGGGAAACGTGTATGCGTTTTAATTACTTAACTATTGGAGGACGATGGTTAACAGTTGAATAAATTTTAAAATAAATGAAATTATTTTTTTGAATTTGAAGAGGAAAAACGAAAGCCAACTGATTTTATTAGTGGAACATAGTGAGTGAAGAGGATGGCGTAGGGGGATTGAGATGTAAGTTAAGACTCAGTAAATTAAAGTAAAAGTAAGGAATGGGGCACTGGTAACTGTCTAATTTTAGTGAAAACTAGAGGGGTTGGTAATTGATAGTGGTAAAAAAAAATGGATGGGGGGGAATTGAGGGAGATAGTGGGAGATGGGGAGTTCGAATAAATATAAAAGTTTCAGTAACAGGGACATAAAAGAAGACTGCGTAAGATAGATGGAGAAAGGGTGTAGTTAAGCTGTTCGTTGATTGAATTATAACAATGTTAAGAAAAATTAACAAAGATATATTTGGGACGAGATAGGAAGAGAGGAAGAGGCTGACGTGGTGTTGATGCGTGGTAGAGCGTACACCGATGGATGTTCGCGTCGGATCGATATAGGTATGCGTGAGAGACTGGCCGCTGTCGGAGTTCGAGTGCGGGTTGTGCATGATGCGGATGCGGCGCAGTTGGACAGAGACATACCGAGCGTGTGTGTGAGAGAGAGATAAATAGGTAGAAGCGAAAGAGATTGACTGCTGTCGGAGTTGCAGCGGAGATTTGAATGATGCGGATATGGCGCTGCAGACATGCGTGAGAGAGACAGATAGATGAGAAAGAGAGATGCTTACCGCTGTCGGAGTTGGAGTGCGGGTTGTGGATGATGCGGATGCGGCGCTAGAGTCGGAGCGAGATGGACAGATAGAGGGAGTTTGGAGGGAGAGAGAGAGAGATGCTCTACCGCTGTCGGAGTTGGAGTGCGGGTTGTGGATGAGAGAGAGAGAGAGAGAGATGCTTACCGCTGTCGGAGTTGGAGTGCGGGTTGTGGATGATGCGGATGCGGCGCTAGAGTCGGAGCGAGATGGACAGATAGATGAGAGAGAGAGAGAGAGAGAGAGAGAGATGCTTACCGCTGTCGGAGTTGGAGTGCGGGTTGTGGATGATGCGGATGCGGCGCTAGAGTCGGAGCGAGATGGGACAGATAGATGAGAGAGAGAGAGAGAGATGCTTACCGCTGTCGGAGTTGGAGTGCGGGTTGTGGTAGATGGGAGATGATGAGAGATGATGAGGAGAGAAGAGAGAGGATGGCTTAGCTGTCGGTTGGAGTTGTGGAGCGAGATGGACAGATAGATGAGAGAGGAGAGAGGAGAGAGAGAGAGAGAGAGAGAGATGCTTACCGCTGAGAGAGAGAGAGAGAGGAGAGAGAGAGAGAGAGATGCTTACCGCTGTCGGAGTTGGAGTGCGGGTTGTGGATGATGCGGATGCGGCGCTAGAGTCGGAGCGAGATGGACAGATAGAGAGAGAGAGAGAGAGAGAGAGAGAGAGAGAGAGAGAGAGATGCTTACCGCTGTCGGAGTTGGAGTGCGGGTTGTGGATGATGCGGATGCGGCGCTAGAGTCGGAGCGAGATGGACAGATAGATGAGAGAGAGAGAGAGAGAGAGAGAGAGAGAGAGAGAGATGCTTACCGCTGTCGGAGTTGGAGTGCGGGTTGTGGATGATGCGGATGCGGCGCTAGAGTCGGAGCGAGATGGACAGATAGATGAGAGAGAGAGAGAGAGAGAGAGAGAGAGATGCTTACCGCTGTCGGAGTTGGAGTGCGGGTTGTGGATGATGCGGATGCGGCGCTAGAGTCGGAGCGAGATGGACAGATAGATGAGAGAGAGAGAGAGAGAGAGAGAGAGAGATGCTTACCGCTGTCGGAGTTGGAGTGCGGGTTGTGGATGATGCGGATGCGGCGCTCCGGGTGGGCGGGCGGCAGGCGCGCGGCGGCGGCCAGCGCCTCTGCGGCGCTGCGCGGGAAGTAGAGCGCGGCCAGCGCCACGCCGGGCGAGAGCTCCACGCCGCCGCCCACCACCACCACCAGCCGCGGCAGGGGCGCCTGCTCCAGGTGGCGCCGGATCGAGCCTGCGCCCACCACCGCCCCGTCGGTTACTCGCGCGTTCCGTAGGGACGAACGAGCTGGCGGCTCACCAGACATTCGCAACACCGCGAGGATTGCAGCTGTGTTGCCACCTTTCGTGACGACCCGCTCGCCAGACGAAACGCAGAATTATAACACGGTCTTCAGTGAGATCGTTGCGCTTACCCGGACGGACCTGTTCGCGCAACAGCCCAAACTACGCAGCTACCACAGTGAGCGTAATGAGCTACCGCTAACGGAGAACAAACAAGCGGAAGAAACTCCGCGGTTAGTCTCTTTTTGTCGTTCATCACCCAAATCCAAAAAAAAATCTGTGAGCCACGACAATACTCAGCTCGTGTGAGAATCGTACCCACGACCCTCGGCGCCACAGGCCACCTTCTCACATAAAAAACCACGACAGACTATATTTAAAAATTGAGGTGCAGTACTCACGCAACGCCACGTGGGCGGCTACATCTGGCGGGAAGTTCCTTCTTGGCGTGCTCAACACGCAGAGGGCCAGCGATCTGACTCCCAGCTCGCTGGCTGCCTGGAGAACGTTCCTGGCGATACGGGAACCCATCATGTAAACGCGTGCATCATACACATTAACATATCTCAAATCGACAATAATTTGAGGACCTGATTGGCTTAGTGGACAGTGTACGTGCCACTTGCGACAAGGGTGTGGGGTGGAACCCCCACTGGAAAGATATTGTGTGATATATATATATATATATATATATATATATATATATATATATATATATATATATATAAAGAAATGTATATATATATATATATCAGTTATCTAGTACTCATAGTACAAGTGTTGCTTAGTTCGGAGTTAGAAAACGTTGTGTAGAAATGTATTCTGATATAATTATTTGTATCTATTTGGTCATCTATCTAATTATTTCTATCTATTTTCTAAACGAGCTCCATCTATGGAGAACTTAGCAATACTCAACTCAACCACTAGGCCGTCTAAGCCAGATTCTCACTAAACAGAAATGATACGGCCGAGAACAAAGATATCCAAATAGAAATAAATAATCATGTGTGATCCTCCGCGATATAATAAGCGTAAACCATTGTCACAAGCCTTGTTTTGTAGTAAGACCTTCAAATGCGTCTGTTAGTTGCCAATTGTCCAATCTACTCCGATATTGACATTTCAATGAATTCCCTTTAATTTATTATACTAATATTATAAATGCGAAAGTAACTCTGTCTGTCTGTCTGTCTCGCTTTCACTCAAAAACTACTGAACCGATTTAAATGAAATTTGGTACACATAGAGTAGAGCCTGAGCAAGGACATAAGCTTTTTTATTTTTTATTAGAGAAAAGTGTTGTAAAGGGTTGAAAGATAAATATTTAAATTAAATAATATATTTAAGAGCTTCAACGCGGGCGAAGCCGCGGGGGAAAAGCTAGTTTTTAATATACAAATAATGGATCTTCCGGCTGGTGGTCGAGCCCAACCATAATCTGGAACCAAATAAATATGCTTGGAAGGGAGCTGTGTTCCTTTGTGAGGATTTTTGTTTGTCAAATTATTATTGCATGATATTAGCGTCTGCAATTGTAATGTTATCGAATAATTGATGCTGAATTAATTATGTCTTTAGTACTCGAACGCCCGCAGCTGATTAGTTAATTTCTGCGATGATCAGTGTTTCAGAAACCGGGCGTGATTAGTCGGGGAAACCGGGCTATCCTGTGATTAGTCTTGTCTTGAATAAATGGTAGAAAATGCCTTATGGCATTAAGCCTGCCGTTTGTATCGGTTAGTAGAAATAAATAAATTACTTGTAGCAGTTGTGGAGCGAGCTCTCGGCGGCCGTGTGGTATTTCGCCACGTATTTGGGAATGACCGTGTGGATGATGTGCCGGCAGCGGAGCTGGTAGCCGGGGGTCACCACCACCTCACCGGTGCGGCATTCTGCAACGCCGTCCGGTAATCATCAACGGTATACTCACTCAAATTTGGTGGTTGTCTTTTGAAATTGGTTTAAAATGTTACTTTACTTAATTGCTGTTAAATTACGCATTGAAATTGAAAACCAAGATTTTGAAAATATAACTAAAAAGATTTTGAAATTGGTTCAGAATATAGCTGTAAATACTTTCACTGACTTACTGTTGTTTGTATTATGCATTTGAATTGAGGACAAATACTTTTAAATTGGTTCAATTATACATCATCATCCTCCTGTCCTTATCGCACCTAGGTGAGGTCGGCACAACACTTTTTTTTATTTTTTAAATTTAAAACATTGCCCTTACTTTAGGATATCATTATCCTGTGTTGTAAGGATGTTTTACAAACATAAATTTCACGCGAACAAACACCCAGATGCGAAACAACTATCTGTGGGTCACACAAATAGTTGTCCCGTGTGGGAATCGAACCCACGACCCCCTACGCCGAAGCCAATAATTGGGTAGCTGCGCCACGGAGTCATCATCATTCATCATCATCACGTTAATCATGTTGTAAGCGGTTTTTTTTATATTTTTACGACCGTCAACCCTCATTGGGAAACAAACACCCAGATGCGGAACAATTATCTGTGGGTCACACAAACACTTGTTCCGTGTGGGAATCGAACCCACGACCTCCGACACTGAATGGGGTTACTGAGTCATTGTAAACATATACTTTCACTGAATGACGATTTAACGATTATTCTAATTTTTTGTCGAAACATTAACTATCTGGCTACCCAGCTGGGGTAAAAAGTCGTGTGTGTTTTTAAAGATTCGTAAACAGCATTCGCATCGCGCACTCTATTGTCAATTGTTCTAGAACTGACTTATCTCATAAAAGACAATGTATTTTGTAAACAAAACCGATCGTGTGAATGATGAATTGTGCGATGAACAATTTATTATGACGTGATCATTATAAAATTAGGTCACTACGAAATAACTTATGATCGATTTTCAATTATGAGTTCTGTGTTGTTTCATATTCAGTACATATTTTTATAAATCCTATAAAACCGCATGTATTGTAAATATTGTTTTAAAATGGCAACATTGCCCATATTAATGCATTAACTCAAAGTATTAACAGCTCTAAACACCTTCAAAATTGCTCGGGGAAAATCTATCGCAAAGGAAGAACAGAGGTCCTACCAAGCGCCCTTGTGACAATCTCCTCTTTCAAATCGGGCCCCGCCGCCTGCATTATCCTCTCGCTGATCTCGTTGCATTCCGAAAGTGTCTCGTTTGTGGTGTTCGTAACTGCATCGACGTCTAACGTGGTGATATCGCCCTGCCTGTAACGCGGTGAATACAACATCACATATAAATTAGAAAAGCCAAACCTGTAACACAGGTTAGAACTGTAACACAATAAAATATATTAAACTAAAGTGTAGACTTTGGAAATGATGACATGTGCTATTATGAAGGGTGTAAGATGTTGGCAAACGAGCTGGCGGTTCACCAACATTTGCAACACCCATAGAGCTGCAGATGCTTTGCCATCTTTGAATAAAGTGGGCCCCGGATACCACACTCACCGCACCGAAACACAAGAGTGAAACACCTCCGCTTAAGCCAGTTTTCTGTGAGATCGTGGTACTTACCCGGACGGACCTGCGAATTCGTGTAACAACGCATTGCGTGGCCCTACCACGGCGTTTTCTACCTGGCAAAGTGTATCCATTTATTGATAGACCAGTGTTGCTCACGTAGGTCTAAAATAAATTAAAAACTTTTAGTTACTTTTTGTATAATAATGATAGAAGGAGTGCACTAATTGTGTTTGATGGTTGGCTATTACGAGTAACAAAGTCAAACAATAGGCTGTAACTACATGACAAACAGGCTGATATTTTTGTCATCTTAATACTTTCAAAAAATAATGCGTCGAGTTATGTGCGAATCGTTCCATGCAATCAAATTGTTCTGATTCCCGTCTAACCCGTCCTTACACTAGCTCAGTTACCGGGCTGCACGTTTTTCATTCATTATAATCAAGTACACAGTTCAAATCCCAGTGCCGGCATTAATGGAATTGTTCTTGCAATTTTAAGTGCCAATTCATCACGTGCACAATGAAGGAAAACATCGTAACGAAACCTGCATACATACATTATAATTAATAATGAAAAGAAAAATATAAAAGAACATATACGGTCTGCTACGAGTGAGGTGGCGTGTTGGACGCCTAATAACCTCTGTACAGAGGAAGCCTCAACCCAGTAGTGCGACATATACTGCTTTCAATTTTAGTCGAGATAAATTAGCATTCTCCTCTCTAGATCAGATCGAGTTTCGTTTACCAGAACGCGAGCCGCTGGTTGATTTTGTCGTCGTAGACGTAGGCTGGCGCCGCTACGGGGGCGTGCGCCACCCTCGCGTAGTCCGTTAGGGGCGCTACGTTGCACTGCGCCCACCGCACTACGCCGCTGGGCGAGCGCATCGCGCCCTGCTCTGGAAACGGAAGGGAGGGCGTGTGAATTTTCAGGTGTGAATTATCTAGTCCCGAACTAAGCAAGGCTTGTACTGTGGATACTAGTTGACGGATAAATATACTTATACATAATTTCTTTTGTGAATATACAGCGTGTCGTTACCATCGCGACAATAAATGAACACACGTTTAACGCTACTTGCCAATAATCATAAAAAAATATTAACGTTAAGCAAAATCCAAATTTTTCAAACGAACTAATTAAGTAAAGTAAGTAAAAAAGAAACAAAATTTGTAACATCCTATACAACTCGCGCCACAGGGTCGTATTACAAGCCTCTCCTTCTAACAGTATGTTTTGTCTCTTTTAAATTCATTCAACCCATTCATAAGCTTTGTGACCTTCACAAATGAACTTTACTTTACAGTTTTATACGTAAGGATGTTCTAAAATTCTTTGTTTTAGAAAATTTAATATCTCTGAAAATATTGATGTTTAATACAACTTTTAAAAGTTATCCCCTATATGTGTGTTCATTTATTGTCGCGATTGTAAAGACACGCTGTATACATATTACACATATATACAGCACCCAGACACTAGATAAAGACTGTTGTTCCTCACACTATTTTTCCGGTAGTGGGGTTGGAACCCACACCCTCTGGCGCAGGAGACAAGCCCACTATTGACTACGCCAATCGGGACATCAAATGAATGATTGAATGCCACGTTTATTTTAGACCTGTTCGCGGGATTAGGTAGATGAAAGTTACGTAATTTTTTTCTACATTTATTATTAAATAATATCATCCCTTGAAATTATTCTCTTCCGCTTTTTCTTTCGACTTTATCTACTGACTGATATTGAAATTTTACCGACTCGTAGATAATATAATTCTTCTTTATTAGAAATCCATTGACCAGCTTCAAAGATAAATCATTACATAGACACATTACATACGAAGAAATTACGAGTAACAAAAATAATATTAATTTTTATTGACCCGTTATATAAGAAGAGATTCGTTTTAGCAAAAACCGATTACAATATGATTCATATTACATATTCACGTAATAGTGATGTGTATTAGTATCACCATTTACAATTGAGTTATTAATGTATTTAGTAAAGATTCGTTTTGATATAAGCGATCTACAAAACTTATCGTTCGAGGAAAGCGAAATTTTAAGGAAAATTCTCTGTAATAACCAAGAAACCGTTATTCTGTAATTTCATATACAAGTATGCTAGCAGAAAAAATGTAACATTTTCATTCGCACTAAACCAAACATACAATTAACTTCAACAACCGTCATGTCACTGAATCTACTTTAGTTCTGTAAATTATTCTTTTAAAGCATGGCAAATAACGCCATCATAAATATTTAATGACATTGTTTTACACAACGTTATCATTCCCAAAGCAAGCAAAGCTTGTACTATGGATACTAGGTAACTGTAAGACATACTTTTCTTTTGTAAATAAATACATATCATAGATAATAAACACCTAGACACTAAAAACCGACCAAGTGCGACTCAGACTCACGCGCGAAGGGTTCCGTACCATTATATATAAAAACCGCAATAAAAAACAACGAGTCTGTTGTATGGGAGCCATAATTAAATATTTTTTTATTCTGTTTTTTAATATTTCTTGTTAAAGCGGCAACAGAAATACATTAACTAACTATCACGGTTCATGAGATACAGCCTGGTGACAGACGGACAGACAGCGAAGTTATAGTAATAGGGTCCCGTTTTACGCTTTACCCTTTCGGAACCTAAAGCACTATGTTCATGACTACGCAATATTTTTTCAGTAGTGTGGATCGAACCCACACCCTCTGGCGGAAGATACAAGTCCACTGTCCGTTACGCCAATGGGGTCGTCCGTCATCAATACGCTACGGCGATCGTAGCAAATTGGGCCACTGATTAGCATGACAACGAACCGGAGGCTAAGTCCACATGCCCTCGTAGACGAGAAGTGGATCTCGGAACATACACGAGTGGCGTCAACGTGGCGCCCCCATTGTCTTTCGGCCCGGTTAACGGTTGACAATGGAGGTTTCGTTGAACGACTCACTCGTTTAACAAAACCTCCATTGTAAACCGTTTACTTTGTTCGACAAAGGCCTCTTGAAGGGATTGGCCAAATGCCACGTGGCCTCGGAAAATTTACGCGAGCGCTTTACGTAAGCTTTTAAGATGAGACAAGGAGGACGGCGCTTTTGTAATTCTCTTATTTTGTGATCGGTTGATCGCAGATAGTGTAACTTACCACATTTAATAATCTATATATATAAAGTTCACGTATCACAATATTAGTTACTACGTAGTTGCCACTCTCCTCCGAAACGGCTTGATCGATTTTTAGCAAATTTTATAGGTCGGTCTGAGAATCGGTCGTAATTTATTTATCATACCCCTTAGTGATAGGGGTGTTCCACCCCAAACATTTTTTTTATACGGAAAAATTATGGCAAAACGACGTTGGCCGGGTCAGCTAGTAATATTAAAAAAGACCTTGAAATTATGATTGCATTAATGCTATAAAAAACAAATGTAGAAACACCGTTTAATTACAATGACAGGTATTCTGTTTAATGCGTAAATTGTAATTATATACCTACAAGAGCAATATAAATTATGAGATATAGAACGTGAGCTCGTGTACATATAAAATTTACACCTGGATGTGACATTTCAATTATGGTACTTATCGATTCAATGGTCAACAATAATTCATAGCAGAAAATTCTTTCTGCTATGAATTATTTTAAATAACACGGTTAATTCATTTTACAAAACTCACACACAATTCACAATCATAATTTTTGACGGATGTGTTTTGTAATTGATTTTTGTATATTGCCAAAACCATATAGAATTTTTAGCTTCAGTAGAGCTTGAAGATGCCTTAATTGAACAAGATACAAATTTTTCAAATCACAAAAACAGATGAAATTTTTATGATGAGAACTTGATGCAATGGAGACTCGTCGCCTCCTCTTGCCATTAAATGAATTATGGAACTGAGACGTGGTCCATCACTGCTGGTCGTATGAGAAAGTGCAAAGTGGCTCAGCGAACTATGGAATGACCTAAATTCAGTACTTTTGGTAGAGTTTGCAATGCAGATACCCGCAATAGAACAACAGCAACCGACATAGCTAAGAAGAATAGTAAGCTGATGTCGCAATGGCCCGGCCACATAACTCGTTGAACCGATAACCGACGGGGAAGAAAGTTTCACGAGTGGCAGCCTCGTATTGGCCATCACAATGTAGTAAGACCCACACTAGACGGCGTGATGCTTGGGCAAGTGTTCTAGCTATCGATGGATATGATAAATAAACTCATCAGAATACCCTTCAGCGTCTGAATTGCTGACTATCAGCGCTTTTAGCTATTATGACGAGATCATTTCATGTCATATTACTGACGGTCGAGAGTATGCCAACTAAAACTCTAACGGACAATTGATGCTTGAACATGTGATGGCACCACAACAGTATGTTTACACAGAGAGGCATAATTTAGTTTCCGTAACGAATGAAAAGCACTTAGCAAATTGCTTCAGCCGTACCGCGCTTCACACATCAACAATATCTAACTGGCTTTAATTAACTCCACGTCCAAGACCATGAACTATATTTTATATTATTGGGGCTTTAGCCTCAAACGATTATTATATCTAGTAAAAATATAGCAGATAGAATATAATATGAATAGCCAGATATAAAGTGACTGCGAGAGGGTAAAAACCGGCCAAGTGCTATTCGGATTCGCGCACGTAGGGTTCCGTACTATTATCGATAAAAAAGGCAAAAAAATCATGTCCGTTCTATGGGAGCCCCCCTCAAAATTTTATTTTTAGTATTTGTCGCTATAGCGGCAACAGAAATATGTCACCTGTAAAAATTTCATCTGTCTGCCTCAAATAAATTTCAACACGGACGGACAGACAGACAGCAGTCTTAGTAATAGGTTCCCGTTTTACCCTTGTCGTTCCGTACCGTAAAAACGAATACTGCTGTTCACGGTTAACATAATTTGTCATTATAAAAAAAAATTGAACGGTTTCGCAAATTACTCAAATTACACATAAATACAAATGTAATCTTATTATAAAATAAGTGTGCGACAAAGACAGCCTTAATAAAAATGAATTATTAAGAACATAACATTTTTTCAAATGAGAGCACCAAATGAAAGGAATACTTTTAAGATGGCACCAAACATTGTTAAAAATGCAATAGAAAAAAACTTAGACAGATGTCGGGGTTTTCGCGCCGTGACGTCAGCTACGATAGAGACAACAGCCGAGGCTGCTACGTGGCCCTACCACCGTAGACGTACGGTAGTAGGGCCACGCAGCAGCCTCGGCTGTTGCACGAATGGGCAGGCCCGTCCGGGTAAGAACAAGTAACACGACCTCACAGAAGACTAGCGTAAAGTGGAAGTATGACAAATACTTTCGCGTTTCGTCTGGTGAGTGAGGTAGCCGGAGACCAATCTTCAAAAGGTTGTCAACGCATCTGTAGCCCTCGGGTGTAGCAGATGTCCATGGGCGGCGGTATTCACTTAAAATCAGGTGTCCCGTCCGCTCGTTTGGCAACTTTTCGCATAAAAAAAAAATCGTCCGCTTAGCTTAGTCGATAAAGCGTCTCGGCGCGAAACGAGAAAACGCAGGTTCGATTCCCACAGCGCCGAAAGTTGTAGTTTGAACTCATTTATCTACAAAAATTTATAATTTAAAGTTTCATCTTGAGTGCAGAGACTACCTATTAATTATTAATCCCAAAACTATTCCGTAGTGTTACAAAAAAACAATCGCTGGTAGTCGGAGGTTAGACGGTCGCGACGCTTGTAAAGGTCGCGCTATTTTCAGATGCATGTCGATTCGATCGAAAAGTTAGCTGGCACAAACTTCACAGAGGTCAAATAGGTCGTTAGGGTCGCTAGGCTAGTAACTACCAATAGTGCACAGTTATGCACTAA